AGCGGTTCCCCATGTTCTCTGTTCACGTTCCGGAAGCTTTCGCTTTGGGTGGGCTTAATCAACTACTTCCTTGCAGAGCTGCCTGGGGCCTTTTCTGATACTGGGCATAAACGTGGGGAATATGTCAGAAAAGAGGAAGCCGCTGCTGGGCTTCATGGGCAAACTCCCCAGTGGGCCTGCCCTTGGGAACTCCGGCAAGACGCACTGCCCTTCGTGCATGGGCCTTTTCCAAGCCCCGAGGCTCCTGCCTTGTTTGCACACAGTTTGCACCACCTGTTTGGAGCAGCTGGAACCCTTCTCAGTAGTGGACATCCGAGGGGGAGACTCTGACACAAGCTCTGAGGGGTCACTATTCCAGGAACTCAAGCCACCCGGCCTGCGGCCGCAGACCGGCATCCTCTGCCCAGTGTGCGATGCGCAGGTGGACCTGCCCGTGGGTGGAGTGAAAGCTTTAACCATAGACCACCTGGCCATGAACGATGTGATGCTGGAGAGTCTGTGTGGGGAAGGCCAGGGCCTGGTGTGTGACCTGTGCAGCGACAGGGACGTGGAGAAGAGGTGTCAGACCTGCAAAGCCAATCTCTGCCATTTCTGCTGCCAGGCCCATAGGTAAAGATGGGATACCCCTACCTCGTGTGGCTTATGAGCAGAGGAGAAAGAGGTGTTGAGACAGACATCCCTCCTTGGTGAGCGGATGGAAAGGAAAGTTTTCTCAAATGCCATGGAAGGTCAGAGAGCAACCTACAGTCCGAGAGCAAATACTCCAGAATGGTAGTATATTCCTGCAGCCTTAGATAATACCTGTGGTAATGACAGCATCAAAGGCTTGCATAGTCCTTCTCAGTTTGCAAAGCACGCTCACGGTGTCCTTGGCTCATCAGCCATTTGCATGCTGGGTCATTGCACTGGGTGCTGGGGAAAGAGAATGAACAAAATAGCATGGCTCCTGCCTCAATCTCATTTGATCCTTGCACCTCTTATTAAAAAAGTAGGCACTGCTTCGCCCCGCTATTTATTGAAGGAACTAGCTTCGCAATGTGTGACTTGCCACAGCCCCACAGTTGGTAAGTAACATGTAACAACTGACTCTGAAATCCAGATCTGCTTTCTACTAGTCCATGCTGCCTTCCCAGTGTAAGATGAAGTCACAGGGAGCACCCCAGGGCTCATTCCAACACATCAGAATGGAAAATAACCAGGGTTTTAGGGTTAGCGTCAAGCAGTTTTTTAAGTTCTCCCTTCCATTTATTCTCTGGCCTCACCCACAGAACAAGTTAGTGGTCCTCGGTCTATTTTTAACGTGTAACTCTGACTGTCTTGCTGCCAGCTAAACAGCTGACCCTGTTTTCTCTGCAGCCACTCCTCTGCCCCAACAGGCACCAGGGCTTACCAGGGGTTCCCCTGAATCTCTGGAGAGCTACAGAGAAGAGGAATTCAAAGAGCTTTGATTCTGATCATTGATTTCACTCTTTCTACTGTTGATAACTCTTGAGGAAAATTCTAGCTTGCTGCGTTGAGTGATATAGGCACTGGTCAAAGGAAATGCTCTACCAACACCTTAGATGAAAGGAGACTTCTGGGGCCAGCTGGCTGCTTTTCAGTGGCCCGGGGTTTCTTGGGCTGGGTTCTCACCGTGCTCTCACCTCTAGCTTGCTGGAGGAGGAGGCTGTGGCTCTTGTCTAGACTTGCCAGTTTAACTCTTTGGGTAAAGTTCTAAGATTTGGACTTAGTGCTGCAACGCCATGCCCTGCGCCAGAGAGCCCTAGTTTACTCTGTATCCCGTACAACAGCCCTCTCAGGTACGCACTATCCCAGGGGTGGGCAAACTTTTTGACTCGAGGGCCACAATGGGTTCTTAAACTGGACCGGAGGGCCGGAACAAAAGCATGGATGGAGTGTTTGTGTGAACTAATATAAATTCAAAGTAAACGTCATTACATAAGGGTACGGTCTATTTTTTTTTTTTAGTTTTATTCATTTCAAACGGGCCGGATCTGGCCCGCGGGCCGTAGTTTGCCCACAGCTGCACTATCCCCACTGCACAGATGGGGGACTGGGATCAGAGAGGATCAGGTAGTCAGTCAGAGGTTAGATCAAGGTTGGTTGGTTTGACTTAAGAGACCATGCTCTTACAACTGCTGGGCTGTTTCCCAACTAGAACGGTCCCCTCATTTCCTGTTCCTGACTCTGTACTCTCCTTGTCCCCAGGAGGCAGAAGAAGACCACTTTCCACACCGTGGTGGACCTAAAGGACTTGAAGGGCTACAGCCGGGTTGGGAAAGCTATTCTGTGTCCTGCACACCCTGCAGAGGAACTGAGGCTGTTCTGTGAGCTGTGTGACCAGCCTGTGTGCCGAGACTGCGTGGTGGGGGCGCACCGGGAGCACCCCTGTGACTTCACCAGCAACGTTATCCACAAGCATGGGGACTCCGTGCGGGAACTCCTCAAAAACACCCAGCCCCGCGTGGAGGCCCTGGAGAAAGCCTTGGCCCAGGTCAAAGAGACAAACGGTGCCCTCCAGCAGCGGGTGGAGGCTGTGGCGGCCGACATCCGAACATTCTCCGAGGGCTACATCAAGGCCATTGAAGAGCACCGGGACAAGCTGCTGAAGCAGCTGGAAGACATACGGGCCCAGCAGGAGAACTCCCTGCAGCTGCAGAAGGCACAGCTGGAGCAGCTGCTGGCAGACATGCGCACCGGAGTGGAGTTCACCGAGCACCTGCTGACCAGTGGCAGTGACCTGGAGATTCTCATCACCAAGGGGGTGGTAGTGGAGCGGCTCACGAAGCTGAACCAAGTCGAGTACAGCGCCCGTCCCAGAGTGAACGATAAGATATGCTTCTCTCCCCAGGAGAAAGCGGGCCGGTGCCGCGGCTATGAAGTGTACGGCGCCATCAATACCAAAGAGGTCGATCCAGCCAAATGTGTCCTTCAAGGAAAAGGTAGGGACGCACTGCCCGTTGGCACCGAGGGGGCAGTGGGCAGGGACTTGGTGTTTAAAGATGTGTAGCTTTTCAGCGAGGCCTCTGTTCAGCTAGGAGGAGCTCCCCACTGGCCAGTTTACTAAAGGACAATGACCCCCTTCCTTGCCCTTACCTTTCGATCTGTCCTGGTCAGGGTACAGCTACTGTCCCTTGCAGGTGTGAGACTTGGTCCTTTTCCAGTTGAGAAATGTAGTCACCACCCAGGACCTCAAGGATCATGCTCTTTCTATTAGAAGACAAAGCTGAGATGGTACGCCTCGGAGATAACAGCGTAGACTTCAGGGCAGGGCGGGATCCAGAGTGCTCGGAAGGGAGCAGGCAGGCCCCAGATTGCTTCGATCCAGTTCTGAAGAGTTTCAGAGGAGGGAGGGAGGGATTATGGTTTACTTTCTGGATCCCTTTTGGTTCCCATTGGCATTTAAAAGAAGACAGTAGGCATTTCAGTCAGTAGGGGAAGACAATCATTGACCACAGTGTTCTGTTCTAGAAGAAGCATGGTGTTCACACGTACACATCACAGATCAGCCCTGACAGGAAGGCTGTATCCTGGAGTCCTCTTGACTTGGCACAGGAACTGGGAACTGCTTGGAGGTCACAGGTCCCTTTGAGAACGCTCTTTCCCAAGAAACACCCACTACCTCGGGCAATTTGAGGAGGTTCTTAGACCCTCCATAGACCTCACAGTAGATCCTGAACCCATTCATCTGACTGCTGGACTAGGGGCTGCAGGGATGGGGGCGGGGGTGGGGTGGATGATTAAACTAACAGAAACAGGTCTGGCGCTTTTCTTGGGGGAAGGGGATCCACTCAGGCAAGAGGTCCAGTTATTTTTTTTAAGTATTCTGTTGTGTCCTTGCTGTTGAACATCCCAGCACCTTGGCATGAACTACAGCGTTGTGGAGGCTCTTAGCATGGAGTCCAAGCCTATTCTAGCAGTATCTGCACTGAGAGAGGGTAGTGTTGGGGATACCAGCCTCCCTCACAGGGTCTGGAGGTTTTCTTCTCTGAATACTTAGGCCAATCCTGAGTATTTTCAAAGCTTCCTTGGGGCTGACGTTAAGGTCCAGGATCCTGTGCCCCAAAAGCAGCTGCTGTGAGAGAGAACTAGGGGAGACTCCCAGGAGGCAGGCGCTGGCAGACAGAACGGGAAGAGAGGAGAAAGGGAACAGGGTGACCACCATGCCCAGGAAGCACAAGCCTTTGTTCTAAGAGAAAAAGCAAGACGGTGTCTGAGCTGGGGAGGTAGTCACCGCATTGGCCGTGAGGGTGAGGACTGCGTGTTTCTCTTGCAGATCTGCACAGAGCCCGGGAGAAACAGACCGCCTCTTTCACCCTGCTTTGCAAGGATGCAGCGGGAGAGAGCATGGGCAGGGGAGGAGACAACATTCAAGTCGCAGTTGTCCCGAAAGATAAGAAAGACAGGTCTGTACCACACAGTTACGTGTCCTGGGTGACGACACTGGAAGCTTGAGGTCTGAAGTAATAGTGGAGTGGTAAGGGCAGTGGTTACCATCTGCCTCCCTGTGGTGCTAAAAAGGATATGATCAATTGGACCAGATGTGTTTTCTTGTGTGGGCTTTATGCCTATATGCAATTCTCTCCCAAAGGTCTGATCTGCCCGATTGTCTTCGTCCCAAGCTTTAAATAGAGTGAAAAATAGTCTATATTTGGCCAAATGGTTCCCTTCTCAAAATTCAGCCCCTCTTGGCTACTCAATGGTATTGGGAGCCGAGCTACGGGGCTCCGGTGAGGGAAGGGAAGGACAGAGTACAGGAGGGCACAGCAGAGCTGTAAGGTCTTCAAGGAATTCACCCACACAGCAGATTACGTTAGCATTTATTTTGCTTCCTTCTGTTGTGAAATTAATTTCTGAGAGGGGGAAGCAGCACCCTGTTTGGGGAACATTTAAAATTTGGTTGAATTTAATGGTGTAGTTTCCATCCTACAATAGTGGTCACTGAAGCAGGCTGTGAGAGTGAGTGGCTTTTTGGAACTCTTATCTCCGTCCAGTCCAGTCAGAACAATGGTGCAAGACAACAAGGACGGGACGTACGGCGTTTCCTACACCCCCAAGGAGCCTGGCATCTACAAGGTGTTGGTCTGCGTCAAAGAGCAGCACGTGCAGGTGAGTGAGACCTGTGCGTACGCTTCCCTGAGCTCCTTTACCCCTGACCCTCGTGGGTTCTGTCGCCTTCGGATATGGAGACCTTTCTCATAGCATCAGCAGTATAGAGGGACTGAATAGGATTCTCTTCTTTCTTATTGCCCTTCCCTTAGAAGTGCCCCAGATTTTGTGACTCATTCTTACCAGAGGATGCTGGTGACTAAGAATTCTGGACCCCCGTTTTACCTCTGGGCAGTGATGCTTGTATTTCATCATTCTCCCAGTTGGCTTGTTGGAACTCTGAATTTGGGAAAGATGCCTTAATCACAAGGGGCAATCTACTAGCAGACAAGAATACACACTCAAGAAATATAATCTGGCTCAGGATTTTCCAGTTTTGTTCAGACGATGGCCAGATGGTGGACTTACTGGAATACGATTGGGAGACATACACCCTCTCCTTTCAACCGCCTAGTCATCTGTCTGCTGCCCATGTGGTTCTCTGTTGACATATATGCTTAACTGTTACCATGGTTACCATACAACCTCCACAGACAAATGTAACAGTTTCTGGTTAGAGATGATGAATTTTTAAAAACTTGGGCCATACTCAACATGTCCAGCAGAATCTCTCTGCTGACAGTTGCGTAATCAGAGGTTCCCCCCAATCAGAAATCAACACTGACAGGGACACAAATACCATAGAGTCATGACATGTCAGGCCTGTGGTCTTCACACCAGAAGATTCATTGTTCCCTAGCCACACGTTGCTTGCCTAACTAGTGTGCCAGAGTGGGTTAGGTGTTTTTGCATACATTTATTTCATTTTTCCTCCAAACCATTTTTAGGTATGGAGATCATCAACTGATTAGGTCAGTGGTTCTCAATCTTCCTAATGCCTCGACCCTTTAATACAGTTCCTCATGTTGTGGTGACCCCAAAAACAATATGTAATTATATATGTGTTTTCCGATGGTCTTAGGCGACCCCTGTGAAAGTGTTGTTCGACCCCCAAAGGGGTCGCGACCCACAGGTTGAGAACCGCTGGATTAGACTGAGACACCAAATGTGTCAAAGCATACCGTACCTGCATAGCAAAATCAGAATTTGACCCCATTTTTTAAAACTCCAAGTTATTTTTAAAATAGATTGTAAATTCTTTAAAGGCAGAGAGACTTAACATCTGAAAGGCTTTAAGGTGCCAGACTCTCGACTTGGTACTTTCCGACTGCATGATTCACATAGGGGTAGGCACATAGCAACACTTACTGAATATTTATTGCTTAACATGGGCTAGAAACTGGAGAGTGGAAGTTATCCTTGAAGGAAGGGGGGCAGGTAGGAGTTTCTAACTTGAGAATTTATTAACCACGCTCTTAACCTTTCTCCCTTGCAAATCTCCACTGTCCCAGGATAAATGGGTGGGTACACAAGTATGTCCAGGATGGAGGGGTGGAAGGGAAGGAGGTAGCTCAGTCTGTGAGGGAGGACGTGTGAGGCTGAGAAACTGGAGAAAGAACCACAGGGTGTCCGGGCCTGTGGTTGTGGCGCTCCACTAATTACCCGAGATTCCTCGAGAATGGAGAAGCCAGAGGCCGAGGCAGTGACATGGAAGCACAGGCGGGGTTTACCAGTGTGTCACGTGGTCTGGGTGTTAGGAGGGCAGCGCAGACTCCTGGCTGTCACTGCCTTTGTGTGTGGCCCACCCAGCTGAGCACCCAGTTAGCTCTTGTCCCCGAGTGATTCCCTCTAAGGGCAGGCCCTGTGACTTGCACTCCATTTAGACATGGATGCTCAGCACATCCCTGTTGACTCATACGTAAGGTGCTGTTCTTTGCTCTTGGTCTGAACACTGAAGGGCTCGCCATTCACTGTGACCGTGAGGAAAAAGCACCATTCACACCCGGGTGTATTTCACTGCTGCACGTTCTGCTCCAGTGGAGGCCAGAAAACTGCTCGCTGTGCCTGTGGGGGCACCATGCCAGGTAAGGAGGGCCAGTCGCTCTTGAAAGTCCTTCCCCTCTGGGACCATCTCCCAGCAATGGGAATTAGCATGGACACTGAGTTTGGGATATTCTGCCTTAGGCTTTGTTTCTAAGAAATATAGTTTGTGGCCCTGGCTGTTTTGGCTCAGTGGATGGAGCGTTGGTCTGCGGACCAAAGGGTCCCAGGTTCAATTCCAGTCAAGGGCACGTACCTTGGTTGCAGGCTCCTCCCTGGCCCCGGCCCTGGTCGCGGGCATGTGGGAGGCAGCCAATCAATGTCTCTCTCACATCGATGTTTCTCTCTGTCTTTCCCTCTTTTCCACTCTCCCTGAGAATCAATGGAGGAATATCCGTGTGTGAGGATTAACAAAACAAAAAGAAAGAAAGAATATAGTCTGTGGATACAAGTACCACAGTTCTAGAACTTTCATTTAAAGCCTCTTTGTTCTGAACACTGAAACAGCAAGCTTACAAGTTCTGAGCTCTTTTCGTTTTGATATAGTTCACCAATCCCATGAGCCCTGCTTCTCCCTGGATGCTTGGTTTCCTGTTCTGCCCTTTCCAGCAGCCTGGCAGGATAACAAATGTTAACCCATCCTGTTCCTTTTACTAGTACAAGGTTAAAGAAGTTCCAAACGAGGCAGGGATGGGGCGTGGATGATTAAACCAATTGAACCAGGTCTGACTCTTTTCTCAGGGGTAAGGGGTCAGCTCAGGCAAGAGATCAGTTTTTAAAAGCATTCTATTGTGTCGTTACTCCAATGGTGGGCCTTAAGTGTGGCTTTTGCACCCTTTGCTATAAATGTTTTAGGATCTATCTTCCTTTTTATTTCCACTACTCTAGCCTTCTCTTTTATTTGAATTATTTCAGAGTTAAAATCCAAACCAGTGCATCTCCTTGAGTTAGCACCATGTTAAAATAACACTCTTCTCAGAACTTCGGCTGGCCTTACTTGATTTGCTGTCTTCAGTCCTGGGAGTCCTCCTGACTACAGGGGCATCTGATAGTGTGTTCCCCTCACCAGGCTTTTATTAGATGTTTTCACATCCAGGAGTTGGAATGTTGCCAGTTTTAATTTCCATGGTAACAGCTGGACTTCACTCTGATGGTGTTTTTCCCTCTCCTCTTTGTATGACACAGGTGGGTACCTAGGCTGTGGCCATGGACACAAAGGCCACCCAGGTCGCCCCCACTGGTCATGCTGTGGGAAGTTTACTGAGAAGTCCGAATGCACGTGGACAGGTGGGCAGAGCACAGCAAGGAGTCTCCTCAGGACGGTGGCACTCTGACGGTTTCCTAGGTCAACCCGCTAACGCTGCAGCCGGCACAGCTTCAGATCACCAGAAGACCGCGGACCTCGATTAATTCTGAAGAAACGCATAGAATTAAACACAAAGTGCCTTATCTAGATGCTCGAGCTCAAATACTTTTTGTGAGTTATTCACTGATTGTATGTGTGGACGGTGGAGCACAAGACGCCACCACTATATGGCAAAGGAGGCTGTCTTCCGTTTGTATGGGTATGAAGGTACCTATGCCCTTAAACTTCGAGATCATGGGGACAGTGTTGTTACTCTTGTCACTAGCTAGTTAAAAAGAGGAAAGGAGCCCTGACTGGTTTGGCTCAGTGGATAGGATGTCAGCCTGCGGACTGAAGGGTCCCAGGTTCGATTCCAGTCAAGGGCATGTACCTTGGTTGCGGGCACATCCCCAGTAGGGAGTGTGCAGGAGGCAGCTGATCGATGTTTCTCTCTCATCGATGTTTCTAACTCTCTGTCCCTCTCCTTCTCCCTTCCTCTCTGTAAAAAATCAATTAAAATATATATAAAAAAAAAGAGGAAAGGAGCAAAAGGGAGGCCAGACATTATAAGCATGGCCATCTGGGCGCTTCGCCAGGAAGCTGCAATTTCACACTCTCCAGGGGACCACCATTCCAGTCACTGCAGATCACTGGGGGGAGGGGAAGGTGGACACATACACAAAATACACAATAAAGTCCGGTGATACAGGAAAGATGCTTGCCTGTCAGTCAAACCTAGGAGCAGGATCATTGACTAGAGGGTGAAATCACTGTAAATGCACAAAATATTAAGGTTAAACTCCCGAAAGGAATTCTCTTATTCCTCGTTTCTTTTGCTCCGCTCCTGCTTCCCTGCACTTTCCCGTGTTCCCTCCATAACGCTGTGGCCCTAGCCATGCAGACCCACACGCAGTGGACTGCCTCTGGGAATACAGCTAAGCAGCCTGGTGCTGAATTGGTCTGTGCAAATATGAAGTGGAAATCCTGGCCACTGGCTTTAATCCTAGCTCTGCTAAAGACAAAATGGACTTTTTTCTTGGCGGGATAGAGGGAGATGGGACCTTGGAAACTCAGGGGTTTGATTCCATGCTAGTAAGTATCACTCATTCTCCCATGCGAGTCTTAGAAAATTCCTTTTCTTGTTACATTGCAAGAAGCCCATTTCCACTGGCAACCAGTGGGGACATGGAGGACACCCCACCGATAACAGTTTGGTTCCTTACTTTTTGGTAATTAACCTTTTTTTTATTTCTCCCTGAGGTACATTTTATATATTTTCCACAGAATAAACACCTCCTTTTACCGTGTCCACTTTTCACTAGCACAATTTCAATGGATTGTAATGTGAGCTTGCTGTTTAGATGGAAGTGCCCTTCCTCCCCAACCCCCCATACCACGTTTATCTCGTACCCCCAGAGCCTAGATGACTACTTGGTAAGGGCTCACAAGTAGGAAGTAGATAAAGGGAAGTGGTGTTGAGATAGAACCTCATACCTTTACAGCAGTCCTGCTCCTCCAGGCGATCAGCTTCTGCTCAACACCTTCCAGTGGATTCCCATGGCACTCAGAACAAATCCAGTCCTTGCATCAGCATGTAGACCCTGCACGACCTGCTCTTCTCTCATTCCCTACCCGCCCGCCCCACCGCCCATCACTCTGTTGCAGCCACGCTGGTCTACCTGGTGCTCTCAAACCCTCCAAGTACTCTTGTCTTGCAGCCTAATCACCCCCCACCCCCTCACCCCCCGCCAGGTTTCTGCTTTGTCAAGTATCTTCCTGGAGAGGTCCCTAAGTACACTGTATAAAAGAGCAATCCTCCCCTCACCAGGACTCCATGTTACCTTTACTGGGCTTAATCACCATCTACCATATATATTCTGTTTGTTTATTGTCTGTCCTCTTATACTAGACTGTAAGCACTATAAAGGCAGAGATTTGGCATTTATTAACTACTATATTGTACCTGTGTATCTTACATTGTTCCTGGCACACAGTAGAGCTTAATCAATATTTTGTTGAATGAATAAAAATCTGATTATTTGCCATTTAACCAAATACCACTTAGAAAAAAAAATCTCGGTCTCTTTCAAACATGTTGGATAAATGCACCATAGGGACCAGCCTTGAATTTTCTAATGACCTCAGACATTTAGGGAATTGCTTGCCACGAAAAAGCTTATTGTATTTACATCATCCCCACCCCTCCACGGTCTTTTAATGAATCAGATTTCAGAAATGAGGATAAAAAGCTTATTTATTTCAGCTGGAAAAGATTTCAATAATTGGATAACACTACCGTAGATGAGCAACAGAAAACTTCTATAAGATACCTAGGTTTTGGCAAATACCGTAGCCCTTAAGCAATATTAATGGCAACAGTTCCATTACAAATATTAAGAAAGTTTGTGCAGTTGGGGGTAGGGGTGTTCCTTGGCCTACGCTACAGTGGAATCTACACTCAATTTAATTGAGCTACCCTGCCAGCTGAAAAACCTGACAAAGTATGAATGAGCTGCAGAGCCCACGACTCCAAGATAAGGAGAAAAAGAAGTCTGAGCATTTAGGAATCGTCCCCAAGTGTAGCAAAGTGCTTCAGAAATCACCTTTGAGTAGTGAGCACTGAAGCATCACACGATGCAGTATTATGATATAAGTTATACCTCTGGTGCTAACAGGTCAGAAAAAAGAGCCATAATTAGTCTTCGTCCCCTGGGGTACTGTAAAGGATAAACACTGAGGTTGTCTTGGGTAACAAGCACACACAGACACCTGCCAGCCCACCCACTCTCTAATCTCTAAAGTGCAATAGTCGCTCAGCTTCACTCCAGGGGCTGTACACCGGGTGTTAGGTCTGTCTCAGTGAAGAGGCGGTTGGGTGAAGTGAATGCGAATTAAGCAGAATAGGGAAGAGGCATTTCTCTCTTGGCCTTGTTACTTTCTACATACTGAGTCCAATTCCCTCATCACTTCCTCAGAGAAGTCTTCCCTAAGCAGGTCAACTCCTAGTTTTTAGCTCCCCCAGCTACATGGACCTCTCCATGTGGATCTCACCATTGCACATCACAGTCATCCATGAGGATCTGAGTAATGCCTGTCCCCCTCCTAGACTGTAGCCGCAGGAGGATGGGGATTGGTTTTGGTTTTACCTTTTCAATGCCCAGTAGTGCCTGACACATTTAATATACACATTTTAATTAATGTATAAATAATTAAGCAGTAAGAGTATTCTCCCGACCTTTTCTCTCACATAAAATCTCTACCTACATTGAGAGTCAGCTGTCGATTCTGGAAAAAGGGACTCAAGCTAGTAAAGATCCCATGTAGCTACATGTGTGTGTGCCTGTTCCTTCCCTAGGGGCTAGGCTTTGTCCCCTAGCTACTGAGTCCTGTGGTACTTGGTACTGGAACTGACCCTCACTTCATTTTTATTTATGAAAACATTTTAATCTAAGCTATATGCCTAGGAATTCTAAATTCCTACTATACCTCACTTTGTGACTGCAGTTGCTACATAGCACAGTACAATATCCCACTTTGTAAACCCAATTCTCTCCAGACATTACGGTAGACAGCAAGACTTCAGACAACCCGAAAGGCCACACCGAGCACTGGTGTCCATGGTCCTCCCATTAGCGCAGGTGAATCTGGCTTCACCTGAGGCCTGCTGACAGCCACTTCATTGGGCAACACAGACCATCAGAGAGGAAACCACCCATTGCTCCTAAGAGTCCTTCTACATCACCACTCCTAGAGAAATGGGCCGCGTCCCACAAATGTCATTCCACCCACTGGTGTTCATGATGACTGCATGCAAGGTTTAAAAACCTTGGCGGGTTTTTAAAGGGCCAGGGTTCCATCCAGCTATGGCAAGCACAATGAATGCCCTTTTTTTGATCAACTCTGCTAGAGAAGTCAAACTATAAACCTTGCATGAGGCAATTCCGTCCCATGGGATATACCCCGTAAACTGGTGCTCAGCAGTGTTGCGCTTTGGTGACAGATGTTCACCATCTGGCTTTTCAGCCACACCCCTGCTGCAGCCGGATTCTCATATTCCCAGGCCTGGTCCCACAGCAGTAACGCTGGTGTTTGTATGGCATGCCACGGTTTACAAAACTCTTATCTTATTTCATCCTTGCCCAAGTCTGGTGAGGTGGGCAGGCAGGTGGAACAAGACCTGGCAGCTGTGGTGTCAGAGAGGGAGGCTGCCTGGCTCTGCCAGGACTCAGAGGGCAGCACCTCGATGAGACCACTACCCCCTGGGAGGGGGCAAAGACCTACCTGGTTATGCTTAAAAAACTGACTCACGGTAACTAAAATGAACGTGAGCTTGAGATAGTCACCAGAATGCCACTTAGGTTAATTAATCCATGAGAAATTTTCACCTTGGGGCTAGAATTTAAGGGTGCATGTTTAGTATATTTCATGCCACCAGGACAGTGGTTCCGAATTTTACTGCATACACATCTAATCAACAGCATCTCACTGTTACAGGAACACCTACCCACGACATAGTTAAGCGGCTTTGCTAGCTCAGCATCAGAACAAGGAACACTAGAGAAGCTGTTTATGATGCCAGAAGGAATCTTACAGCAGATTACACTTGTCCATGGACTCCGAATACTGTAGGCTAATCCCTTCATCCCTCTCTGGACCAAGAGCAAGAATACTTGGACTTCCAAGCTAACAGCTCCTCTGTCCTAACCAGTGCTTGGAACGAACACCGACTATGTTCATGTAACGTGCTTTCCGATGAAGACCCACTGTCCATCTAGTCAAACGGGTCATAGCAGGTGTGTCGGTTAGTGAATTCCCAGTGGAGCACACTGAGCTATATGCTAATCTAGGTATCTTATAGGTAACAGAATGGAGATGTGCGGGGAATCTGTAACCAGCCTAATATCAGACAATCAGCAAGGGGCAGAGGCAGGGTTCGTACGTTCTTGCTGGCCTGGGAGCCACTGCTGCTCAGGTGACACTTATCTCTGCCCGGGTGTGCTGACCTTATAGCATACCTCTGGGAGGGTGATCTGACGTCTCTCATTTCCTGATTTTACCAGCGACCGCACTGTGGCTGTTGAGTTCTGAAAACAATACCCGCCTTACAAATATGGAAACCAAAGTGTAGAGAAGTGAAGGATTTTTTTTCAAGGTTACACCGCCTGCCAAGGTGAACCTGGAACTGGAGTTAAGTCTAAGTTCTAAACCGAACCCTTCCTACCAGGCCATAATATCTTTCCCTTTGTAGGCCTTAGGCCAGTGATGGTGAAACTTTTGAGCTCCGTGTGTCAGCGTTTTGAAAAACCCTAACTTAACTCTGGTGCCGTGTCACATATAGAAATTTTTTGATATTTGCAACCATAGTAAAATAAAGACTCATATTTTTGATATTTATTTTATATATTTAAGTGCCATTTAACAAAGAAAAATCAACCAAAAAAATGAGTTCGCATGTCACCTCTGACATGCGTGTCATAGGTTTGCCATCACTACCTTAGGCCTTGTCCTAGAAAGGCATTTTTGCTTAAACAGGTTCCAATGCCCCTATCTGCAGACCATGACTGGGTTAACAGAGGATTTCGTTTCCTATTCCCAACTCAAAGGAGGGTAGTGGTCTATCTAGGAAAAACTACAATTCTTTCCAGCACAACTAGCACAGTAAGTGTTCTGGAAAAGGCTGCTAATGGGAAGAAGGAAATCTGACTCGTTTCCCAAAGTATAAAATTCTAAAGGGTTTGTATTAGGGTACTAACTAACTCTTATAGAAACAACCCTAAAATCTCTGTGCCTTAAAAACCGTCACAGTGCAATGTGGGTGAGCTGGGGTGAGCAGGGAGGCACATATGGGGAAGACTTTTGTCCCAGTCATTCAGGAACCGAAAGGGTCCATGGCAAAAACCAGGGTACGAATCTCTAATCTAGAGGCTTTGCAATTCTCTGAGGCCTTGTAATCTTTCATCGGGTCCTCTGCATCCAGTGGGCTGGTAAGGGAAGAAACAGCCTGAAGAATCTCTTGCAAAGTTTTAGAGGAAAGATAAAAAAATGACTTCCATCACTTCTGTCCTCATTCCCGGGTGAGAACTCAGTAATATGACCATGTAACTGAAGTAAAGACTGGCTCTCTGGGTACCCAGGAGGAAAGGAAATGTGGTTTAATGAACACAGCATTATCTCTGTTACACTGTCAAACACATTAGACTGTACCAATGCTAAATGATACAATGGTACAAAGACTAAAGAACACAACAATACTAAATGCTGTGAGTACTGTAGATTTGTAAAAATACAAAAACTATAAAAATGATAAAAATGATAAATTATGCCACAAATCGTACACGATACGACAGCAATACACAATGATGTACAGGGCACCTCTCTGATCTTACCCTGAGAGGGAGAAGGGCCTGGAAGTGAGACCACTGCAGAGGAATGGGCGTGGGTCCACTCTCTGCTTGGCCCATAAAGAGACGGTTACAGGAGCAGCCTCATGGGCAGGAGAGAGAGAGATGTGAGAAAGGCAGTAACACTAGGCCCCCATCAGCTGACAAGAAAAAGGCAACAGAACTCTTACTGAAGTTTCCGCACAACCCTCCCAGAGTTGTTTTCCAAAGTCACCCAGCGAAAAGACATTTTCTTTCATCTCAAGTCATGTATCGGTTTGTGTCACTCACTCAGTTCTGGGGGTAAGCGTATGCCTCACGTGAGGAGGGCAGAAGGCGTGATGGTGACATGGAACTCAAGGAGAGCCCAAGGGACCATGGTTAGGCCGTGCTCCCAGATCCTCACACACACCAACAGTGGCACCCTTCTGAGCTCTACAAACAGGCAGTTAGATGCCAAAAAGGACTTTGAGGTCAGCCAAGGTCAGCTTGGTGACAGATTCTCCAGATCCTGATAGAACCTGTTTGGCCAAATCTTTCTTTTTCTCTTGGAGCTGTAAGATCTTTTCTTCCACTGTTTCCTCGCAAACAAATCTGAAACACAGACAAGCAAACAATTAGAAACCAAGGCAGCATATCTAATAACATGTTCAAACTTCTATTTATGCTTTAGTTTT